AGGGAGGGAGGGAGGGAGGGAGGGAGAAGAAAGATTTCACAGATCAGACAGCTTTCCAATGAGCTTGTTTCAGATGAATCAAGTAAGAATCAAATCTGGAAGTATCTTCAGAAAAAAAAAAAGAAGAAGAAGAAGTAAAATGAAGAAGCTGCCACCAAATAAACCAAGGAGTTTAGATTTAAGAGGGCGAGGTTCCTAAGAACTCGAGGCAAACAGAACAAGGTAGACACAACCCACCAAAAAGCCACTGTGTGTGGGCTGTGGAGGGAGCACTTGGAAAAACCAAGAGAAGTTTAGCAAGAGTTTCCTACATATGGGTCCAAACTAACTGAATAAATAATTCCTTCTACTCCCACATGGCTGACAGGTATTATTTCCTTAGCTGGTAACATTAGCCCTCTGAGCCTGGGCTTGGCCTCAAAATTCTTCCAAGCATAATACTTCCAGATAGTCAATATGAATAGAGTCTGTATTGACCATCTTGGGACTAGGTAACCAAATGGTCAAACATAGATGTTAAATTAGATTGAAATGAAACCATGTTAGGTGTCATGGATTCCCTAAGGTATGTCATGTCCTAGAGCAAGCTTTTCCTTTTTCTCAGGGGTCACATTCTATGACCTAACTATGCAAGCCTCTTTTACTGCTGGAAACTACTGGGGTGTCTTCAGATTCTTTTCTGTTCCTCCACTGAGAAAATATATTGTCACTGGCTTATTAAAATTGACTCCGTCAAAATAGGGGGCCTTGGGAAGGGGTTTCTTTGCTCTGTTCGAACTGCACTCTGCAGGCCAAACAACGGATACAGATGAGAAGTTACTGGGAAGAGGTGGATCACCAAGGCTAAGAAAGCCAAGCCAAGATATCTATTATAGTTCAGGGGGAAACAAGTGTCACTAACATCCAATCAGGGGATAGTGGGGTTTCAGCCATCCTTGGAGAAATAACTTACACTAGACCAGAGAAAGTTCTTCAGGCAAAGACATCATTTGTAAAACTGATACAATCATGCGAATAGCACATAATAATGGCCCAAGCCATAATAACACCAAATGACACTAACCCAATGGCTTAGACCTCACTGAATGTCAGTCTCCATGTTTGCTTTGCAAAATTATCTCCTCTGATTCTCTCATACACTATTCTGTGGGGAGTGAGTATGAACTGGCACAGTCACCATGTGAATGATGTAATATCTTATAGTAAAGCGGATGACAGAAGTTCATTTAGCAATTCTACTCTCAAAAATATATTATAAGGAACACTTCCTCACGGGAACCAGGGCACACACACACAGGAACTTCCAGAGTGTCTTTACTTGTTAACTGTCCTAATCTGGAAACAGTCCAAATAACCACATATTTATCATGTAATTGATGAAAGGTGACTTGACCGTGGAGTAGAATAGGGTTTCTAGAATTCAGATGAAAAAATGAAAAAACAGCTGCTTGCTACATTGTCAATGAACCAACATATGCCAGGTACCTAAGAAAAGAATCATGTCACAGAAGAAATAATGTCATCTCATACTCTTAATATAAAGACCTTAATGGCAAAATAAACTATTTTTATAAAGATCACTGAATAACACAAAGCAAAGAAATGACTTTCCTAAAAGTAAGAGGTGTCCAGGTCAAAGTAGGAAAGATATGTTTTAGCCAGAAAGGGCATGGGGGCCTTTCCATCTAACAATGTTTATCTGTTGTCCCGAACGAAGATACGGTAGCTTCACTTGTATTTAATTTGCAATGAAACTGTTATGTGGTATGTACATTTTCTGTGTGTATTATATTTGCCAATAGAAAAGAAAGAAAATTCCAATTTGTTCTCAAGACCTTTTCTCCACAATAGTATGGAAGGTGATATCATGAGTCTGAACTCACAGGCAAGAGAACTCAGATACCAGGTGCTCATGTGGCTGCGCAATGCTAAGGCCAGGAATTAAACACAGAAACTTTAATGATTAAGTCCTAGGTGTGCAGCACCCCACCCTCTAGCCAGCTAGTAGAATGGACAAGCCTGGCAGAAGTAGCAGGCAGGCCTGCGGAAGACTACAAAAACGAGGCAAGTTAGTCAGCCATTGTCATGAGGTAAGATGACATCAGACTTCAGGTATAAAGTATATGCAAATTATGGGGATGTATTTAGCAAAGGTAAGAAATTAAGGTTTAACAGATTAAATATATTTTTAATTTTTTGCCATTGTATCTGTAGACTAGTATACAGGAGAAAGGTTAAAGCTGCCATGAAGGAAGAGAGAACACAGTTGGATATGTGGAATGTGTTTGCATCTGCCTTAGGGTAATAGTTGAAGCCACAGAGAACATAAGGTTGCCTGAGAAGAGGATGCAGAACTAAAAGGAGAGCTGATAGGGCCTCAAGAACCTCCAGAGAGAATGACAGATACAGAAGATCAAGTGGCAGGAAGGTGATCAAAACTGACTCCCCTTGAAAAGCCAGTGAAGGACAAGGAGCTAGTAGACACAGAAGAGCCCAGTGTTCCTTCCATCCAACCCAGCCATGAGGGTCCCTAAGAATCCAAGACAAGGTGCTGCATGTCCACTCACAGTTAGCATAACTAGGGACAGAGTAAGCCTAAGCCCAGGTCATGAAAGTGAGGGAGAGAGCATGTACATTCAGAACTGTATACTTGCCTTAGACATGTTCTACTTGTAGCTACTCTAAGGGAAGTGATGGACATCCCTTAAGATCAGAATTCAATACTAACAAAGCCACATTGGCCTAGTTCTAGAGAAACTTGTCCATTGGGCTTTACCTTGATGCATTTAATTAACTGATGGTTTGTTTCTTTGTTTGTTTATAGAGACAAGGTTTCTCTGAGTATCCCTGAATGTTCTGGAACTCACTCGGCTGACCTTAAACTCAGAGATCCACCTGCATCGGCCTCCCAAGTGCTGGGATTAAAGGCATGCGCCACCACTGCCTGGTTTGTATTCTCATGAATTCAAGTGCTCTCTTATGCCTATAGCTACACACACACACACACACACACACACAGAGAGAGAGAGAGAGAGAGAGAGAGAGAGAGAACATTTCACAAGGTCTCTTGTAACTCTCCTAAGCATGTTCTGAGTTTCAATGTACTCTCAAGGTCTGCTTTTACCCTGCCCTCTGCTCTCTGGCTTTCCATTAAAATGACATTAAAGCAGAAGGCAGGTGAACCAGTTAGGAATCAGAGAGTCATTAGGAACAAGAGACAGATAAGAGAGGGTAATGAGGGACTGCACATGCTCACAGCACATTCTAGTCATGTGTAATGATGAAAGTAAAAGGAAAAAATTTAAAAGAGATCTTTAGTCATTGAAAATGATCAAGAAAATATAAGCCCTGTGCATTTGAAAGCCCTTCTGTTCAGACATCAGAATTATAGACAATGTCACAAAGTTACAGGGTAAAAACTTATAAGTATAAACATTCTATGTGTATAGTAAATTATGCATGATAAACTGAAAGTTGAAAGTCACAAATAAAGGATTATGAGCATCGAGCAATTTGGTTAAAAAAAGGAAAACTCCATTTTCTGAAATTTTGATGCATAAAATCTCGATGTCTATGACAATGGCCCAGCCAAAAATACTCTGATAGGATTGCAGCTTTATCCCAAGACAGCCATCAGGACACAGCACCATCTTTCACTAAGTGATACTCCCGGGTTCTCCATCTAGTGCCTCCTGTGCCGCCTACTGAATGTATGGCATCACCTCTCTTCCCTGGCCACCACTTCCAATGCTCTGGGTAGCATTTGATCCGCTGGACATTACCTGGGAGCTTCAACATGATGTAGGCTGTGGACACTCCAGCGTGGCACATGAAAGGAAGGCCATAGTCTTCCATTTTCACTTCTAAGAATGTGATGTTCACAGTGTAAAAAATATGATCTTTAAAGGAAACATTGGTTCTGGAAAGAAAGAGTCAGCCATTAACATGTGAGCCAAGTTTACGCAACATGAAGTGTAGCATATCTTCTAGAAATAGTGTGTGGGCTTTTTGTTTTGTTTTGCCTAGAGAACTCCCTGGGCCATATTTTACTCTAAGATACTTACTAGGGTGACTCAATATATACAGATTCTATAGTTGTAAGTTTTCACTTTCATCTGGACAGTCATTAAAAAAAAAAAAAAGTGTGGGTTTGTGACTACAGTCCCAGACACAGCCCTAATGGGCATCCTTCCCCCCTCCCCAGATGATATACTAAGGTGTGCACACAGCAAGGCTCAGCACCATCATTAATCCTGATTTCATTTATATCACAAATCACAAATCACAGCACCAGAAGCTGAGTTTGAACACCATTGCCTGTGCACAGTCTCCCACAAGAAATCCTGCTCTGGTCTTCACTGCGCTAACTCTACATCGAAGGCCAGCAGCTCATAATGTAACTGAATGGGATAAGGCTGGATCTGAGTGGCAGCTGACACACATGGATGCCGTTTCTCTAAGGTACAGCTCGCGTTTCGCTGACACTGATTCAGCTGAAAGCATAAGCATCTTGCATTTGTCAGAGCTATTATTAAAGACAAAGTCAAGAGCATAAATGAAAAGTCTGGTGGAACTGTCCATCAAAGGCAGTGATAACAGCATATTGATGTGGATGACCCTTGCTGGCTTTCAGTCACGATATCAGCACCTACTCAATTCCTTCCCGGATGCGCTTGGAATCATTGTAGTAGTCGTCCACCAGGGTTTCGTTGATTCTCCAGCACCGCAGGTTTGTATTCTCCTTGGTGTCTGTTATATTGCAGTCCACAATAAGGGTGGAGCCTGAAGCAACCAAATTTATACACATTGAAAGTGCGACAGATTCTCAAGCTGTCACCCTGGTTGCTAATCTAGTTAAGAAATACACCTTGTTTTGAGCCTGGAATAGCGTAATTACCACAAACATCCCCCAGGTAGATGTCAATGTGCCTGATCCTCTTTCTACATATAAGGCAGGATGGCAAGAAGCCTTCCGGGCTGTGCTGTGAAGAGATTTGCACACACCCTTGAGGAGAGTCTCCCACAATATGAGACTATGTACTACTTAGACTATGTACCTACCCCTACTGATGTTAGCAAAGTCCTTTACAGTCTACAGAGTGTTTCCTGGTCATCCCCACCCTCAAGACTGTGCATCTTTGAAATAATTCAGTAAGGAAAAGTGGAAGGTATTCCTCTAGTGACCGATGTAAAACTTAAGTTCAGACAGATTGAGTGACTTGCTCTATGTAACACCTATATTTAAGGGAGACATGGAACATGAGCTCTAGTTTCCTAGTCTCTAATCCAGTGATGTGATGTCCCTACTTTAACAGATGTGGCTCTTTCCCTTATCCTATATCAACACACATCCCAAATCATATTTAATAAATCTATATTTCAATTTATCATATTCTTTCGTCCAATAGGGCCTACTTTACTTTTCAAAGGGTGTTCTTCATTCTATGTGGTATTTTACATTTTATTTCGATATACAATACAAACATTAAAAAACACCATGGAGTAAAGCTAAACATCAGTGCATTAAAATAAAGTAAGCTTCCATATAACCTTCCCTCCATGAAGAAAACAGTGTAGTTCCCACATTCCTTCATTTATATTGCACCGGATAGCATGTTTATCACCAGATCTGGCTTCTGTTGCTTAACTTGTACTTCTGGGGCTCATCTGTGCTGTTGCCTGTGTTATAAAGTGGAATATACTCTGCCTATTTATTTCTCCTAAAATCACTACATACTCATTTCTGATTTGCGTGTTTCTGATATTTCCTGGTGAGTCTTCTAGGAAGTCTCCTGTGTATGTTTCCCGGGGCACACATGAACCCATTTCATATAAATGCATATGACCCTTATGTATAACAGAAACACATAACTTCTCCAGCATTAGTATTGGCTGCATATAATACTCAACTCCACAAGGTTGTGATGGGCTGTTTCCTAGAGGGTTGATTCAAGCTGCATCCCTACCAGCACTGGGTAAGCTTCTTGGTACTTCATATACTCAATGGTACTAATGGTCAGATCTTTTTATTATAAATTCCCATGCTCTGAATTTAATTTGTATTTCTCTACACTGCACATGAGCAAACAGCCACCTTGCATTTTATTGGTCTCGTGTCTGGTATTGATTGAACATTGTTCATTTCCCCTCCTTTACAGATAGAGTTGTTAAATACATCGCTTTGGGTTCTCCCTTGTCTAATAAACCTGTCAAAGATTTAGTACATTAAATTTTCCCATTATATGGACACAATTGTTCGGCCTTATTGTATTAGTCTTATATTTCTAAGACTTTTAGCCTTGTTGGGCAGTGGTGATGCATGCCTTTAATCCTAGTACTTGGGGGCCAGAGGCAAGCGGATCTCTGTGTGAGTTCGAGACCAGCCTTTTCTACAGAGTGAGTTCCAGGACAGCCAGGACTGCTGCACAAAGAAATTCTGTCTTAAAAAAATAAAAAAAAAAGACTTTTAGCCTTATGTATTTGATTCGTAACTATCTCGGCAACGGATTGATGACTGACTTATATGCCATCCTATAGCTTTCATCCAGCAGCTGGTGGAAGTAGAAGCAGACACCCACAACTAATCACCAAACTGAACTGGAACCCAGATGCAGAGAAGGACCAGTGAAGAGCACAGAGGTCCAGACCAGGCTGGTGAAACCCACAGAAACAGCTGACCTGAACATCCGGGAACTCTTGCTCCCCAGTCGGATAGCTGGAATACCAGCATGGGACTGATCTAGACCCCAGGAACATGGGTTTCAGTGAGGAAACCTCAGAAATCTATGGGACCTCCTGTAGAAGCCCAATATTTATCCCTAGAATAGGTGTGGACTTTGGGATCCCAGTCCATATAGAGGAATACTCCCTGAGCCAAGACACATGGGGGTGGGCCTAGGCCCTATCCCAAAGGATACAAAAGACTCTGATGACACCCTATGGAAGGCCTCACCATCCAGGGGGAGCAGAAAAGATATATAACATATAAGGTTTTAGTTGGAGGGGGGTGGTAGGGGAGGACGAGTGGGAGAAGGGAACTGGGATTGTCATGTAAAACAATCCTGTTTCTAATTCAAATAAAAAAGTTTGAAAAAATGGTATTTTTATAGTCCTGCTGGAGCTGTAACTAAAGCTAAAGCAGGAAATTAGAAATTCAAGAACTGCCTGGAAACAGAGAGTGAGTTAAATTTAATTAAACCCTATCTCAAAATAAAGAAATAAAAAGACTTGGGAATATAACCTAGTGGTAGATTGCTTGCCCAGTGTGTGTGAAGTCCTAGACTCAATCACCAATATCAAAAACAACAACAACAATTATTTTGAAAAGCTTTACAGTTTTAATTAGAATAAAATGACTCAATTGGTTATTTAATATTTTGGGTCTTGAAAGATTATTAGATTGAAACACCCAACCTGATTTTTACAATAATTTTTGCAAATGATACCTTGCCAGGGCAGTTACTTTTAATCTTTTGGATCATGCACTTTTACATGTCTTTTTTTAAAAGTGTACTATTGGACTGATAAAATCCTAACTGGATTATGATATTGACTGAATCTGAGGAGCTCCCTTTTAATGAAGACTTTGTTTAATTGCTTTCTCCCCCCACACAGTGCTCGCTCTGTTTATTTGATTGGTGACATCGCTACATAAAAAAGCGAGCCCCTATTCTGGGACATTGATTTTTGGTCTTTTACTGTGTGAATGGTGGATATACTATAATCATTTCCCTTACTTCTTGAATGTGATATATTCCAGAATGAGATAAAATAATCCAGAATTTCTGATCCAGATTATTCAATAGCAGTAGTTGTACATTTCTGTAATTGTGTTTATGCTTTCAATGCCTTTGCACAAACAAATTCACAGAAGTCACTGAGACTCACAGTACTCAGTCCAGTATGTCAACACCAGAGTTGCCCAAGCTGAGGCAACTTTGCTACATCTCTGGTTAAGCCCAGGCACATCCAGAGTTGGAAATTAGACATGTGCTGGGTTGTCTCCACCTTGGACATTCAATGCATCCATTGAAACAAGTGGGTGCAATGAACTCTACCCATGGTAACCAGGAGGGTTCCAACCCTTTTACTTACCAAGTTGAACTTCGATGGAGTTGTTTTTTGGATATGTGATATTAGGAATTCTTCCTCCAGACACAACTTCCTCTGATAAGAAATCACACCCATTAGAACTGCAAAAGGAAATGACACACTCCCCCAGAAACCCAATGTAATGGCATGAGTACAGTGAGAAAAAAACCTTCATAAATATTGGTCAAGAGAAGTCAAAACTCAAGAGTATGACATTTAGGACGACCATGGTATTGTCGCATTCTGTAAGCTCTTCGCTTAATTATTCATGAGCAGAAGTCACCATCAGCTAGTCAATGATCCAATCTACTTCGTCACACATATGTCAAATCTGGAAGTCATCCTAGTCAACAGCTTTCTCAACACCCTCTTCAAATTCTTCACCACAGAGCCCAACACGTTACCTCCTAACTTCTCAAAGTCTAGGACATTGTCTTCACTTCACAACTGTAGGGGACACCATAACCATGCCTGCTAGGGGCTGGCTACAGGTATTCCTGACCATGCCTGTGAGGGCGTGGTCAGGTGACGTAGGGAAGGTTTAAGAGTGAGGGGCGCGCATGTGGAACTCCCTTCTTCCTTTCCATCATCGGCTTGCTGTATTTACTCCTGCCCTGCCAGCTGACTAAGTCGCTCTGTAAGTAAGGCATCTCCCTAATAAATACCCTTATACCTGACTCCGTATTGGTAATTCCCTCATTACACAACCATCTGTTTTCTATTCTCTACTCTTTTTAGACAGCTTAAACACTCACATCTTGAATTGCCATCTAAAGTCCAGTGCCCAGAAAGTCTTAACTCCAGAGTTCCCTGTGAGTTCCAGACCCACAGAGGTTATGACCTATTCTATTTCTCCTCTTTCATACCTCATGCTCAACTTGCCAAAGACCAAATCTCTCCTACACATATTTTCTCCTTGAGGTGTCTTGTTTCATTGATTAATGTCACCTATCACCCAGCAGCCTATGCCCGAAGGCCCAGAATCTATGACTCCTTCCTTCTTCCCTATGCAATTAGCTCTAAGAGTTGTATTTTCTCCCTTTGGAGATGCTGTGTGTGCATGTGTCTACACCTCCCATCATCCATGTTACCATGGTGCCTGTGCCTGCAGGATGTCTCTCTCACCTGTACTTCGGCACCTGCCTCCCAACCACTGTCCTGTTCCCAGAGGCCGCATAGGCACAGTGGCCAGCCAGCTTCCTCAGGAATGAAAAGCACCCCAAGCTGTTCTCATGGAATCAACACCACAGGCTGCTTGCCAATGTTCTGAGAATCCACACTACCCTGTTTGGAATTCGAGTTCTACCCGCCCCTCACTCCTGACTGATTCTCTAACCATGTCACCTGTCATAATCTCATCAACCTAACACAACTTGTCTGCTTTCCATCCCTCATACACAACATGGCTCCTCTGGTTCTGGGGCCTCCACAGCTTCTTAGTCTTCTGTCTGTAAAGACCTTGGTCATTCTACCAATCTATGAACTCTTTCCTGCCTATCAGCATGTGTTCACGTCCCCTGTAATGACACATCTCACAGTGGTTTAGTTTGAAGTCTAATTTGTTAGATACTAGGATAGCTACCCCAGCTCATTTCTTGGGTCTCCTCCTGCCCACTCATAGTGGTTTATCATCTGTCTCTGCCTCCACTGCCTCTCAGACTTCAAGCTTTATCATAGCAGTACATACACAGCTGTTTCTTTCCCTCATCATCATTTTCTCACTGCTTAGCATAGAGCCTGGCATCACCTATGTCCTCAGTGAAGAGTTACTGAATAATCATTGTATCCAAGCTGAGACTGTCAACACTCTTCTGGAGGTCACCGTGGTATTCTAGGTGGTCTCAGGACTCGAGGCTTGCTTCAATCTCTCCTGCTTCTACCCATCCTGTGGCCGGTTTCTCCCATTACATAGCTGCCTCTTAACTCTGCACTCACACCCTCCAGGGCCCTTCAGTGTGGGTGTGATAAAGACCACAGATGGGTGACCACTTGAACTTATTCCCACCTCGAACTCAGCTCCCAACCCTCCTCTTCCCGACACTCTTCCGTGTCAGGAAATTTACTACGGATCCAACAAGAAGCATGATATCTGATATGGTGGCCCTTGCCTTATCTGTGGCCTTTCTCATTTTCCTTTATGATTTAAAGATCCATTCATCTATCAAAATCCCACAGAGAACTCATTTCCTTTGGAAGTCTGTCCAGCTTGTTTGTTTGCTACTTTTCTAGTTCCTTCGGATTGTTTTTGTTCTTTAGAACAGGAGCTACAACTATAACTTTAACACAGGATGCCCAAATAATCCATTTGTTGCTCTAAGCTCACTGCCTACAGATCTGAGGCTTCCCAAAAGAAGAATTACATATTCAATCTTTTAATTATGAGGTTCAAAAATAGTTCTAAGCAGATAACAGACTGTGGATAAACATGGATTCTCCTGATGTGGCATGAGAACTCTTAGACCCATCAACTTCTTAGATGTTTAGCCTTTTAAGAAATTTCCTCAGCTACTCACTTAAGACTAAAGCATGTGGCAGTCAGTTATTCAGCCAATGAATGGATCTATTCCTGATGGAGAGTGGGGGTCCAAATACGAACAAGATGAGAGGCTACTCCCAGAAGACACCATGTTAGCAGGAAAGCCCAAAAACAGGACAGTCACAAAATGGACTGCAATTTGCTTTCTTACTGAAGAGGTAGAAAATTAAAATTGAAGACTGTCCAAAAATATTTAAATCCCATAAGTAATTTCAACAAAGAACAGTGAAAGATAAGATAGGAAGAGCCATGTTGGGAAGAACCAGGCTAAGATACATAGAATAACTGGATCTCTATAATAGAGAGAGTCCACCTTGAATTGCCCTGGAGCAGTCCCCCGTGGGCAGCAGGAAGCCATCATAGGAACAGATAGCCCAAGGACACAACTCCATTAAAGAAAAAGAAAAGTAATAAGCTAGATTGTGGCTAGAGAGATTGTAATATGCTAAGGAGTTAAGACTGACAGACCCCAAGTTTAGCTCCCAGCACCGACATGATGGCTCACAACCATCAGTAACTCCAGTTACAAGGGATCTGACACCTCTCCTGGCATCCTCGGTCACAAGGCAAATAAATGGTGCACAGACATGTATGCAGGCAAACATTCTTACATATCAAATAAAGCTAAATCTGAAAGAAAAAGGAAGCTACATCTCCTTAGACACCGTAACAAATATGAATTTCCTAAAGGAAGAAACACTTGAAGAAGGTAGACAAATTCTTCATTCAGTGTGTACAGAAGGAAAAATATTTACCTGGACACAAAAGGCCACAGTTCTGAATGTGGTTCTAACCAACCCTGTGAACATATACAAGAATATGCTTGAGCTGAATATTTTAGGCTTTTATTTTGTCTAATCTAAGATGCTGCCTTACAGTCTGAAGATTATCATGTTTCAGGACACTGGGTGCCAGTGAAATAGCAGTTAGCATGGCTGCCTCCAGAAGGACTGACTGCTCTGGCTTGAGATCCAACACAGAACAAACAGTAGGTAATCTGGAAAACACACCCAGATACCCTGAACTCTGCAGAAGTTGAAACTAGGAGGCAGCATCAAGTCTAGAAAGGCCCTCCTTGATACACACAACAGTGAAGACGATGGGGAAAGGAAGGTCATAGTTATGTTGTTTACCATGGGTTCCTACACTCTGCTAAGCACCCAGGAAATTCCCCTATTACACAGTCTCTTTCAATGCCCTCCAAGAGTTTTGAATATTCTGCTTTTAAAGTTTGGGAATTTAAGGTGCTTGTCTCCCCCCAACCCTCTTTTTTTCTTCTCAGTTTCTGGCTCTCTGATCTAATAGTGACATGTTTGAGGGTCTGATATCCTTCAACAAAATCAAGAGGCGGTCTCCAAAGCCTGAAGCCATTCAGCTCCCATGAAGCTGAGAAGCAGACAACAGTATTTAAGTAAACTTACTGATGCTCACAGCAATGTAGTTTCTAACCGTGAACTGTCTCCCCAAGTATGTGAGTCTGGCTGTGCAAGCATAGCTCCCACCATCCTCTTCAGCGACATTGTTCACAAGAAGCCTTGGTCCTGAAACAACATACTGCTTCTCTGCTTTGAGCTCTTCACAACCCTAAAGATGCACACACACACAGGAATAGAGTGAGTACTGGGAAATGCTAGTAACTTTGTTAGTTAGCATTATCCTAGGTGCCATGGGGAGACACAACTTCCATATCCACATGGTCACCTACAATGTAAACCTTAGATATTAACAATCTAACTAGAAGACATTGCATAATATATGCTAGATAGTTGCTAGATGGATGGATGGAGGAAGGATGGATGATGGATAGACAGATGAGATGATAGATGGATTGATGGATCAATAGATAGATTGATGGATGGATAGATAGATAGATAGATAGATAGATAGATAGATAGATAGATAGATAGATAGATAGATTAGATAGAGGAATTAATGGGCAAACAGATTAAGGTAACTATGTTACTCGGTTTTTTAATCATTTTGACAGAAACATTTGTCATAAACAAATTAAAGAAGACTTTTAATGAATTTGTGGCTTCAGAGATTTTATTCCTTCATGTTGAGAAGTGTATGGAGGAGCACTGGAGGCCCGGAAGTAGACAGAAAGTCTGCAGTAGCAGGCTTTCTCTTTTTCCTGTTTATTTCATCTGGAACAGCCTATGGGATGGTACCACCCACATTCAGGGCGGGGTATGTTCCTCTTAATTAATCTTCACTGGAAATGTGCTGACATACACACCCAGAGGTGTTCTTTAAATTCTTAAGCATTTCTCAATCAAATTAAGTTGACAATCAACAGAGAGGAGAGAGGGGTGGACAGTCATCTCTCTCTCTCTCTCTCTCTTTCTCTATCTCTCTCTCTCTCTCGTGTGTGTGTGTGTGTGTGTGTGTGTGTGTGTGTGTGTGTGAGAGAGAGAGAGAGAGAGAGAGAGAGAGAGAGAGAGCATGTGTGTGATCTTCCTTGGCTGCTGTCCATCTTGTTTTTTTGAGACAGTCACAGACTTGGCTGGCTGGCCAACAAACCCCAGGGATCTGCCAGTCTCTGGTGCACCACCACACCCAGCTTTTTTATTTGTATTTATGGGGATCAAACCAAGGACCTGGAGTTTTTAAGACAAGCATTTACCAAGGAAGCCACCCTACCTGATTCCAAAGATCCCTTTATCAAGCTAATCACCTTCACCTCATGGACACACTTCCGGACTCTTGCCCAGGCCTGTTCCTCTTCCTCTGAGAAGCCCCACTCCACAGAGAGGCTGCTTGACTCATTGAGTCCATTTTTTTCTATTCAAATATTTAAGTTCCTGTCTTTCACAGCACTGTGAGAGACTTCAGCCGTGAGGGAATTAGACATAGTTACTGTCCTCATGAAACTCACAACCTAATAGATAAAATCCTTAATTCAACAAATGTAACCAACTTGGTGTTGCATTCTCTCCAGAAATAACCAGCCACAGAGTCAGTCCTTATTCTCAACCCCAGAACAAGGAGAATAAATCTACTTTGCATGCAAAATTCAACAAATAATGTCATAATAAGTACATTCTTATTTATAATGTACAATGTGTCTTCCTAGAATTCTTACATTGTTCTAATAGAGACTCCGTAAGAAAACTCCAGTTATTCTTTGGCAATTGTTCTCTAATAGATGGGAACTACTATTAGGGATTGGATGAGTGACAGTATCACTCCTCATTGTTATGAAGACCCATTATTACGATGAAAATATGTCTTATATTCTAAGAGACTGGAACTTTTTTTTTTTTTTGAGGCATACAGCCAAGTTACTAATGCACCTTAAGATCTCTTAAGATTTAACCTGATGTCTTGCTGTGTAGTCAGCCTGTCTGTTTAACTTGCCTTTAAGAGAACAGTGTAACAACCAACCTTACTTGCCTTGGATTTCCCATGTATCAGCTTTTACAACATAATCTAATACAGTTGTAATTTCAAATTACGTACTCTTCCACACCCCTGACCTAGAAAGTAACTCATGCATGTATGCATAGTATGGTAGTAAATGCTGGAAACATCAAACATGTGTAAAGAGACCTTTGCAACAACTATCTAGCATAAATATTGGAAATAGCATGCAGATATAAGTTGATAATGGTATGCATTCAGTACTGAGTGCTTTGGGGTCAGCTGGAGTCAGTGACTTAGTCCCTTGTAAAACTGTTAAGGATTTCTGTAAAGTATCCCTCACTCCTTCCCCATGTGATGCTATAGTGTTCAACAAAGAGAGAACAGAGCTCTTTGCTGGAGACACACAGCAAGAGACAGTAAGACATCAAACAGGCATAGATAGACACAGACCCAAAGATATAATCAGACTCAGCAACAAACAGACTAATGGCAACCCCCAAACCACAAAGTGAAACAGACAGAAGACACAGGGAGAAAAGAGAATTCAAACTTGAATTTGCTCTTGATCAAATTAATCCAAGGGTAAGTGCTGAATATTTCTTCCTTTATGTGACACAACACATTTTAGCACCTCTGAATATATCTTTAAGGCATATAACTAATGCAGGTTGTAAATAATCTAGGCTCTAGGGGATTGTGTAAATCTAGAAGTCTTATCTAGTCATAGTTCATAGGATAATGCTAACTATGAAAATACTAGTATGCACCAACATGCATTCAACTGCATTTTCTACTCCTGGCTCATCAAGTATAATATTTTGCAGATGCAAAAACATCCCAAAATATTCTAATATGCACTAGGTGTAAAAGTCTGATGAAGTTAAAACCAGTGGGTGAAGTCTGATCATCAAAAGTGATGGCGAAAGAAAGAAGAGCTGAAACGTTACTGGCAAGAGAACAATATTGTCACATTGGTTTCTGAGGGCTAAAATGGACCATTGCCAAAACCAGGCAGAAGCAGAGCAAGAAGAAAGCCAAAATCAATGATGCCGTTTAAATTCGAAACAAACACGTTTAACCGCCTCAACTTGATCTAAATTAAGAGAAATGGAAGGCACGAAGGAAAACCAAGTAATAAAATTATCAGACAGAGGCTTCAAAGGAGTGCTGTTTAGTTTGACTGGTTTAACAGCAGCACTGAAAACTTCAAACATTTATAATAGATAAGAGATGAGAAAGAACAAGTACAAATCACAGTGTTGGGACTGAGTATATGGCTCGGTAGTTCAAGTGCTTGCCTTGCAAACTGGAGCCTTGGAATTTGGATCTACAGGAAACCAGCTAAATGCCAGGTGGCTGTGGCCACCACATGTAATTCCAGCTCCAGAAGGCAGAGACAGGGAATCTTTCACAGTTAGCTCACTAGCAAGGTTAGCCACATAGGTTAAGTGCTGGCTTTGAGTAAAAGACCCTCCTTCATTGAAGAAAATAGAAGAGAAATGGAGGATGAATCTTGACACCAACTTCCCGCACAGAGCTGTACAAATGCCTATGTGTGTCAGTCACACACATGCAAAAACATACATGCAAAATGGAAAAAGGAAAAAAATTATACAGAGAATTGAAAATTACAATAGCTAAACTTAAGTGAGCTGGTGAGTTTAATGGAAGGTTTTACATACCTGAGAATAAAAAGAGTATGCTAGGAAGAATTACCCACTGAGACATATGTACTTATGAGAACAGGAAAAGGCCTGTGAGATGTAAAAGCACATTAAAAACAATGGATTAAATACATATTTAATTAGAGTTCCAAAGGAGACAAAAAGAAAATAAGAAAACACTGAAGGAACTCGTAATTAAGAAATAATGGAGGAAATACATGATAAGCTATAATTGCAAAAGGTATGTGAAGAATAGATGAGAAGTCTCTGTTTCAGCTCACTGGAGTCACATGACTGACTAAACTCCAAAGTCAAGGATAATATTTTCAAGAAATTCAGAGATTGGGGCCTATCACCTTCAAAAGGGGCAGAAATACAATAAGAAAGGTGACCCTGTCCATGATGTATGAAAAATACTGGATATCATAAGCCATTGAATAATATGTTCAAACTGCAGAGTGAAAATAAGTGCCAATCCATGAAGAATAATGTACCAATAATAATAATAATAATAAACATTTTCAAAAACTGAGATAATTTACACTAAAAAAAATTCATGAGATGCTAGTTGGACACATATATATTATATATAATTATTCCAGGGACTGGAGATAAGGCTCTGTGTAAGGGTTAGGAACACTTGTTGCTCTTTCAGGGGACCTGGTTCAGTTCCCAGCTCCTACAGATGAACACACAATCATTTACAACTCCAGTTCCAGGGGATCTGATGCCCTCTTCTGGTTTCTGTGGGCACTACATGTGGTACACATGGAGTCAGTCAAAACATTTGACACATAAACTGAAAACAAAGAAAATTTAAAAAAAAAATGATTCCAGACACAAGTTCAGAGATATTGATTAGATTATAAATGAAGAGAAAGTTCAATGTGTAGGGAAATTCTAAAAGAATACTGATTAGCTATAGCAAGAATGTCTTTTGGTGTTTCAATTATCAGGATATTAAAATCAGTAGCTACAGTAGAGTATGAGTCAAAAATCTTCTAGAGAGGGATTAAAATGCGATAGTCCTTCATTTCCTCAGAAGGTAATAAAATACTATTTCATATCAAATGGCAATAATTCAAGGCTGACTGTGGATGAAGTAAACAAGCCAATGATTGTTGGAGATATCCACTACGAAATTCATAAAAATAAAGATGACTAATAAATGCTTGATTTAAAAAAAAACATCAAGGAAAAAGAAAGGTAATAAGTTTAGAACCAGAATAGTAATTTAAAACCACAACAAAGGGGGTTTGAAGGTAACACATCAGGAGTCATAGAAATCATGAGGAGTAAAAACCCAGCCTAGAGCTTTTAAAGGCCCAGAAACCTGAAACTTAAAAAACATGTCCTGATCCTGCCTCAGCTAGATGATGGGACAGACTTAGTAGACTTTCTATGGGAGGCCTTACCCTCTCCATGGAGTAGATGGGAGGAGGAGAGAGTGGATGGAGTGGGAGGAAAGGATGGGGGGAACTGGGATTGGAATGTAAAAAAAATAAATGAATCATAAGAAAAACATGTTTTGAGAGTATACAAGTACAGAAGGCT